GACATAAAAGAAGCGTATTAAACGTCTCTTTTTCGTTATTTCAATTTTCGCTTTTTATAAGCTTTGCTTACATATGCTTCTCACTGCATTCTCCTCTTACATTCGACTTACATTCCGATTTTTATTTTCGCCAGGGATATAATTATTGGTATATATTCAAACGCGTGAACTCAGCGAAATTATACCGGTTTCGTTCCCCTGCCGATACTCGTTTTCACAGAGCAGACCGCTGCGGGATTCCCCGAGGACCGGATCTTTCGCGTAGACGCCTCGACGAAACGTTAAAAACGCATTCCTCGACCCAACTACAATTCCCCGTCCGTTTTTGGACGAGAAAGTCGTAAGTAGAGATTGGGGAATTAGTTGCGCATCAACCAATTGACTTTAATTACGTGTTTACGGACACGCATCGTATGAGCTAAACAAGCTATCGCATTTCGTCATCTGTAGAAAAGATGCGTTTCCAACGTCTATTGTTATTTGGCGGGGAGGCAGAGACGGGAACGTTTGTGATCGCCGTCCGATGCCGCGGCGAATTTTAAAAATTTGCCTCCGCGGATCTCCCTCGGGGATCGCCCTCGAGCATTCGCTTCGTGTGGAACGGTTGCTAAAGAAGAAAAGGGAAGCGAGAGAGCGTTATGGCGCGAGGGGGAGAGACGTTACGACATCGACATCGGTCGCAAGCCGCGAAACGCCACGCTCTCGTACGATATGTACTATTATACGATATATAGGTATAGTTGAGAGCGAGCGTGGCAAAGCAGAATAGCGCACTAGTCTGTTGAGATCCTGGGTTTGGTTCTCGGTAGTACCAAAATATTTTCATACGCTCCCTTTCTCCCCTTTATACGTGTCCCTTTCTCTCTCTCTCTCTCTCTCTCTCAAAAGGAAGTGGCAACCCATCGAGGGAGAGTATCTTCGACAAGAACACTTCTCTAACAAAATTTTGTCGTTCGGAATCGATAAACTGTCGGTCGTAGGGTCTAAAGTCGTAGAAAAAATTAACTAATCACAGTCGAATATGAGAAGAATAATCGACTATAATTGGTCAGTTTTTTCTACGACCGCTACGACTTCTATTGTAGACCCCGTATAAGCACAGACATAAGAAAAGTCATCATTGCACGCTTGGCCACGAGCAATAGGACTAAGAATAAGAAGGGTTAATACTTGTAATACTTCCTTGTGATAATTATTCCCATTTTCATTTACCTTTTTTTAAGCGCGAACGTAGTGTAACAAACAGCACCCTGGTTTGTTATACTACCTTCCAAATAGAACACAGAAGTCATGACGACATCATCATGATCTCATTCGCCACTTATAAGTCAATTTTTAGGTATCAAATGACATCATGATGACGTTCTGTGATACCATTATGACTTAATTATGACTCCGTGTTCTACCTGAGAGATCCCGGGTTCGACGCTTATAGCTTCTCTCGGAAGGCAATGGATGCATTCAGCGGGCTCAACAGTTGAGTGAGCGCTCGCTATTATTGGTATATTCTTTTAGATCATCCAATCAGAATTTTAGATCTAGAAGAATACATCAATGGCAGCGAGCGCTCGCTCAACAGTTGAGTCTGCTGAACGCAGCCAATGGCAAACCATCAGTATCAAAAGAGTAGTATCAAAAAATAAATCGCTGACCAAAATTGTGTATCAATGCCTACTAATGCTCTATAGTAATGTCTACTAATGCCCACTAATGCTCTAGTAATGCTCTAATATGTAATACTCATTAATGTCCATTAATTAATGCCCCATTAATGTCCAGTAATGTCTCATACCGTTTATTATAATACATAATTCTCTTAAGTAACGTCCAGTAATGCCCAGTAATGCCTCAAATGTCTACACCGTAATGTCCTCAACGATTTACCCCTTGAGTAGTATACTTGCTCAAGAAACCTCTCTATCAAAAATTGCAGTTCGAATCGACGTTCAAACTATAGATCTCCATATACCTTATGTACAATCAATGTGTGCACGCAGTCAGGTATACACAAGAGAGGCGCTAGTGATAGCGTATGGCACTTGAAGAAGAAGATATACGACGCTATACATGTGAGCGGCAGAAATTCCCAACTTGCGTTCGCGAAAAGTCCGCGGGGCCGACTTTCCCGGGCTCGGCGCTCATAACAAATTACAAGGACCTGTTGCGCTCTCGCACATATAACGAAACGTCCCCATACAACGCAGATAATTCCAGCAACATTGCAATGTTTCAGCAATATACAGAAGCTATACATTTATATAGCAGGTTATCTTCATGTCTAGATTTATATTATTAGTATGTCAATCTTTCTTGAACATTGCAGTTCATTTCACGAAGGGGTAACTACTAGCTGAAATATTGTCCCACAGATTAAATGATTTCATCTGATTATCACTACATATGAAGTCATTTGGTAAAATATACGATTTTATTTAATATTATACGTATACAATGATTTCTCGAGTGGTTGCATATGTAATTATCGGATTATACATAGAGATTTCATATGAATTTTATAATGATTTCGAGGACTCTGTCCCAAGATTACAAGTGGTTACCCTCTCGTCATTTCATCAAGCCCATATAGTACCGAAAGTTTTCAGAAATATCTCCGAAATATTTCAACTGAAAAGTGAAACATTTCATAAAAATTGCGAAATATGTCTGCAACATTTCTGAGACAGCTATTCCTGGAATAGCAAAATGTCCGCGATTCTTGCACATGAAACCTTGTTGAAAGATTGATGAAATGTCACGGAAAGAATCTACAATCTTTTTGAAATATTACCAAAAAGTTTTCAGTTATTTTTAGTACTTCAAAAATGATATTTAAATATATATTTGATTGATACTTAAATAATATTTAAATTTATTATGTTGACATAATAAATTTAAATATTATTTAGGTATCAATTAAACATATATTTAAATATCATTTCTGAAGTACTCAAACTTTATTAAGAGTTTTGTAATCTGTTTACAAATTACAAACTTGGTGAAATAAACTTAAAGTATTTCTCATAAATAGTAATTATATCGCCAACTATTTCGATTAATTAATCATATATTATATGTATAAGTACATATACATGATCACTATTAGAAAGTCATTTACACTTGCAATTTCCACACAATATCTATTATTTATATACAAAAGTTTTTCGTAATTAACGCAGAACAAGTCATTCATATACAAAAGCTTTCGCAATTAAAGTAAAACAACTCACGATAACACTAAAATGATGTTAAACTGAACCGTGATTGATTAAAAACTGACTTTTGATAAACATATTAGAATCATTTTAACATCATGATGATTTTTTGTTCTTTTTAAATATGTTTTTCAATTTATTGTATATGATAGATTTTAGAAACATTTCTGTTAAAACATTTCATATGACATATTGTAGAATTCTTTCAGAATTGTTGCACATGAGATGTGAAACATTTCTGAAAATTTTCCGCAACAATCGGTACTGTATGGGAGGAGAGGAGCAGTCTGATATTGTTTCAATAATATTGTAATAACATTGCAACGTTGCAGTAATGTTGCAACAACATTGCAGCGTTCTAGCAATATTGTAATAACAACGCAACGCTGCAGAGTTCCAGTATGAATATTGCAGCAACGTTGTAACATTCGGGCAATATTGCTGCAACATTGTAGCATTTCAGCAATATTGCAGTACATCCCAGACGATATACATTAATCTGTAACACCTCTTTATGATATATTTTAGATATCTGTTATATATATAACAGATTATATATATATGTATATATATATATCTCTCTCTCTCCTAAAGAACATCTTTATGATGTCTTCATAAAGTCTTTCGAGCATGCATATTATCTGGAATTAGGCCTGTTCTTATCAAAGAACTTTCTAAACCGGTGCACACGGTGCAATAAATGGAATTGAAACAAATATAGTTTCTGTCACTTTAACTTATTGTACCGTGTGCACCAATTTAAGGAGTTCATTGATAAAGAACTTACTGCAACGTTGCGCTGCAAGTTTCTGCGTTGTATGGATCCGCGTGAAATAAAGATCCTATGAAACAAAAAAAGGAACGCGATTCCAGCAACGACGAGGCCACGAAGAGGCTCGCGAATCGTTCACAGTTCACTTCGCGAATTGTATCGTCGTTCGGGCGACGCGGCGTGCGAGCAAGACTCACTTTCACGTCGCTCGCTCGCCCGTTCTCCTTCCTCGCGCCTTCCAGCGAGAATGTATCTCACGTAAGCAAATGTCGCGCTCGCTCAATTCAACGGCAACGGCAATAATGATGATTGAGGATGACGGCGATGACGATTGAATCGTCTGCTCGGAATGGCATTTTTACCATCACGGATCCACGCGCTATATTCGCATATGTTTAAGTTTCAGACGCACATGCGTGCTTTATACCTCTATTTGTTGTACGTTTTAAATTTCGAGGAATCGCATATCCCGCTGGTATCGCTTCACCCCCGCGCCGCGGTAATTGTTGAAAAGTCTTTACACTCCACAGCACAGGAGCTTGCAACATTGCTGCAACAATTGCAATGAAGAAAACGCAGCTTTGCAACTGTTGGAAAAATTCTTGAATATGATTGGTTTGTACATTTAGATCCGGCAAAGAACTAAGAGCAAGACTAATCATATCCAAGGAACACACCAAGTCGAGAGAAAGTTAAAATGATTTTATTTTGACGTCATAAAAGCAAAAAAAATGATGATTTTGGGTTACAAAATTTGACCGTTTATATATCCTGATTTTTTGTTGACTTTTATGTATTTCTTGAGTATTAAAGAATTTTGCAACAGTTGCAAAGCTGTTTTTTTTTTCTGTTGAACGCAGCCAATATTATCGGAACGTTGCAATATCGCTGTAATATTGCTAGAATAATCCGTGCTGTACCGAGAAAACCTCCTTTCTCGCAGCGATCGTTCTCCATATGTCGCGCGCAGATTTTCTAGGATCAGGCGATCTCCCGCGGGTTACTCCTCTACGTACCTCTCGAGTGACAGCGCCTGGCGAGCACGTCGCGTCGCCCCGCGACCGCCTCCGCCGTTCTCCACCGCCTACAATATGGTTCACAGACTGGTTCGCGATAGGCACTCGCGCTGCTCGTCACCGCGCTCTCTCCTATCCATAATCGGCGAAAGTAGCGTTGGCTCGCAACGAGACCGTTGCGTTTTTCCACGATTAATCCGCAAAACTATCAAAAATACTCGGTGACACGATCGGCGGACACTATCAACGGCAAAAGGATCGACAGGGCGAAAAGGTCCTCGGCAGCGTGAACCAAGTTCTCCTCGCGACGGCTGCGGCTGTCGACCACTGTCGACTACTCTCGCGCGAACACGAGCGAGCTAGCGAGAGAGCGAGTGAAATGAATGTGCGATCGAGGGGGGAGAAAGGGGAAACGCGCGGGGTGCCTCGTTAAGTAAGGCGCGCGCCTTTATTCGGCCGTGCCCCGCTCGCTCAAGAGCCTGCAAAGAGCCTCCTTCGATCGCGGCGTATCGCCGTTCACTGCTCCGCCGCTGGTGGACCATGGTGGACCGCCGCAGCAGGCGAGAGCCTTGCGCCGCTCGGCATCACCGCGAGTGAGAGTCCACCGTCCACCCAGGACGTTCACCATGTTGGTGAACAGTCGGACGGCGCATGCGTGTGTACCACCCCCTTTGACTCGCTGTCTACCTTCACCGATGACGTCAAAAATAGGACAAGGAGCTGGTGGCCTTTGCTACAAGGCGCGCCGCGAAAAGGGGGTAGGGGGGCGGAGGAGGGGGAGAGGAGGGCCACTGAACTGTCCCTCGATGTCTTCTGTCTCGACCTCGCCTCTCTATCTCTCCGTTTCTCTCTTCCTCCCGCCGCCCCCGTCACTGGCGACGGTCCTCCGGCAGGACCGGAGGCGGCTAACTGGCGGTTTAGCGATGAGGGAGGAAAAGGGTACGCTTGAATTATAGGAAAGATTATAGGAGCGCGTAACAGGCGATTGAAGCGAAGAAATAATTTATTAAATTTATTTTTTTTTGCGCTTAAAAAAAGTAAATTGAAGTTAAATTTAATGAAATATATAATAATTCATATAAATTTCATAATTCGTTAAATTTATTTTTTTGTCTAAAAATGTAAATTCAAGTTAAAGTAAATTTTATGACGTATTAAATTTATATAAATTATTTCTTTCAAGAGCATTTTGTAGAAATTATATTCGAACGAGATGTATTATCTATTCGTACATGTGACGTACATCTCAGATGGCGAACTCGATATCCTATGAAGAGGATGGAGGGAACCAACAAGCGATGTTGGTCCCCGCGAACTCGTGATCCGTTTCTTCTCTATTCTCCAGCCTTTTCTCTCTTCTCACTAGCGAATGGAGGGGGCTATGGGAGCCATGACTCTCCCCTCATTGAAGTCTCCTTTTTTAAGAATATTCATAGCAAAGTGTTATATAATATTTTTAATAATTCTAAAATGCTTAATCATAATTTTGAATTTTCCAAAAATATTTTTTAATTTAAGAAACTCCTATTAGATATAAAAGGCATAAATTCCATTATATTATTCCTTTTTTATGTTAATATAATTTTAAAAACAAATTTTAGCTATGAATTATACATTTGAATAATACTGTTTCAGTATAATAATAAATTTAATATAATAATAAATATTATAATTTAAATAATAATTTAATATATTTTATCTTTTTTCATATTTGACCTTAAAAAATTTGCGACGCGCCCAATGGTCCCCCTTGACAAATTTTTGAATCGCCTATGGTCTCTTCTTCTCGCAGAAGGCGTCTCGTCATCTGTTCTTTACCTCGTTACCCGTCTTACTACCTTGCGTCACGTACGTGCATGCTTGCATGTGCACGTACGCGTTGTCCGTCCGCATTACAAATTTTTGGTACCGCCCCGCGCCCGTGGTGCGTATTCACGGCGGTAATAGATAAAGACGAATCTGAAATCGAGGTAACGATTATGTGAATTATTTTTATAATTGTATCAGTATAGTTGTGAGTGGTTGTAGTCAGAGCTGGATAATATTTAAAATAGTAAATATTTAAAATATGTATTTAAAATGGAAATGATATTTTGCATTTTCCATTTTAAATGGTTTTTGAAAAACCATTTTCATTTTACATTTGAAATGGGATATTGTCTATCATTTAAATGATTTTTCTATATTTTCATAAATTTTCCCCAGAATTATTGACGTACGAGAAGAATTAAGTCCCATGATAAAGACTTTTTTATGAATATTCAAATAAACTGCAAATTAAACTATAAAGAGAAAATTAATTCCAGATAGTCCATAAATATTTATTCTTAATAAAAAATGAGTGTTCCAGCGTTATGTAAAATACTATACACATTTCTAAAAATGTATATTACTCTTAACATCTAATTTTGACTGCGCTTTTCATATTGATTTGATTTATTCAAGTAAACGATCCTGTTTTCAAATCATAATATTAAAAAATTTTAAATATTCCGTCAGAAATACTTTATTTATAATACTGTAGTCAGAGTTTCGAATTCCGTTGAAAATGGATTTCAAACGTAAAATACGTTTATAAAATTTATACCATCTTGGCGGAAAGTTTTTATGAAAAACTACATAGATTGAAACAAGATCTTAAAAATTCTTTTTCGTAGTGGGACGTAAAATAGTGTTATTTGTTTAAAAAACCAAGAAATCCTCCGCTCACAAACAACGCAACTTTACGTCTTATATACGAATATCTATAAAAAACTATGGATTTCTGAGACAAACAAATCTCACTCTATGTCTCACTTATGAATATATCTACGAAAAATTAAGAATTTCTAAGATCTTATCTCAATCTATATAGTTTTTATGTACTTTTTCATAAAAGTTTTTTTCCGCTATGGCAGGAAAAACCATTTTTTTGCATTCGAAAACCATTTAAAATACCTATTTATCCATTTTACATTTAAAATGGATTCGAAAAACTTATTTTGCATTTTGCATTTTAAATACATTTTTAAAAAGTATTTTACAATTAATATTTTAAATGGAATTTGAAAGGCATTTTATCTAGCCCTGGTTGTAGTTGTAAGAACTGATTAATTACAGTTGAATATGAGGAGAATATTTGACTGTAATGGTTAATTCTTACAACAATCCTATCTAAGCACAATCTACAGCACGAAATATATTGCAGCAATATTTTAATAGTGGGCCGTATTACAAAAATTGCAGAAATATTGCTGCTATATTGAAATTTTAATATTTTATATTGCAACAATATTGTGAACCATTGTAATTTTAATGGTTACATTCAGCAGAAAAAGCAACAGTTTTGCAACTGTTGTACGATATTCTTTAATATGATCCTCTATAGCACAAAGTTACACAAAAGTTGCAGCAACACTACTGCAATATTGCAGAGATTTTGTAACAATATTGCTGCAAATTCTGTGCTATATGGGATTGATTTATAGTTATACAGTTAAATCCAATAAGGAATTAAAAACAAGATCAATCACATCAAAAAATTTTACAACAGTTGCAAAGTATATTTTGGATTGTACTAATCAATATAATACTTTAGCAATAAAACTGCTTTAATTACTGGAATATTGCAACAATATATCTGCAATATTTCTCTAAACATTGCAATCATTTTGCAATAATATTTTATTTTAACAGACATAAAAATATTTCCCTAGAGGAAAAACGTGAAAAGTGAAAATTTTTATTATCGAAGTTAATGGAGAAAACTTTTCACAGGGGAAAAGTACATGATCAGTACCCTGATTAGAGAGCGAAGTCGTGACAGGCGTCCAGTCATCAAGGCGAACATGAAGAATCACTCGCTCTCTTTAGTCTCTTTAGATTTATTTTTTGTGTACTGAACTAGTGTACACTTGTTGTACTTAAAATAAAATAAGTATGTATTTTTAAGTTTGGCGAAAGCGAGATAGAAAGTTTTAGTGCAGTTCATTACAGCGACGAACAACAGGCGTTGTGTCGAACAATTTCCATGTCCCGGGATCTGGAATGCGGGGGGATAATGTACGGCGTTCGTGTTGTCGATTAAGAACAAGCGCCTACTTTTGCTACTTCGTCAAGTGGAATATCCGGTGGTATCGGAATATTAATTCAAAATTCTATGTTCTTACCGCGCGTAGCTTTTAGATTTTATCATTCCGTTCAAATCAGGATAAATAAAAAAATAATTTTAAATTGATCTATTATGCATACAGAAAGAAAAAAAAAAGTATTAATTAAATATAAAAACAACCACGAAAAATTCGTGGTTTGGCAAAATTTCTGTTAATTTTTTTCTAATTCACATGTACTTTGCTAGGCCACTATGTTAACGAAAGATTATTTTGAATTATTTTCGCTCATTTGCAGATTTTTAATGAATTTCTAAATTACAATTTCTAAATTAATATTTAATGAAGTATGAAAAGGTACAGGACTATCCAGTTTAATTTAACTGAAAAAGTATATTTATTATCAAACAGGCTGTATGTGTGTGCGTGTATATGTGTACATATACTTCGCGCGTGTGTGTATATAATGTATTAATTCGTAGTATTGGCAATACTAATAAAAAAAAGTAAATTGATGTCTTCGGAGTTTATTAAAGCATAATATGTAAATACAAACGAAATCAAGCTACAAGAGCACTGGCCGTTGAACTTTCGTATTTCCAGTTTGGCGGCAGAGATCCTTTCGCCTTATAGTAACGCGCCAACCTGTGAATTCTCGACTCGACAAGAATTAAACGGAATTTGGAATCTTTATCTTTGCGATTTCGCTCCAAGTGTTTGCGCACAGCGACGGCCTTTTTGATCAAGTAATAGAGATCCTCTGGTAGATCGGGAGCCAGACCCATGCTCTTTACAATACGCAGAATCTTATTTCCTGTACGGAATCGTACTTGTGCTACTCCATGTGAATCACGAAGTATGACACCTATAAAAATACAAAGTATGTTGTTTTATGTACCTTTCTTTTTGTCATTTTAATTATCAAACTTGTTATTTTAAAATAGTGTCAGTGATAACCTATTATGAAATGACAAGTGATCAAATTCACATCAAACATCACTTATTGTAATCTTGCAAACATACAATATTTCAGAGAATCAAATTAAAAACTCTAAGATCCCCTGCGTACAGTTTGCTTTCAAATATATTGATTCCTTCAAATTAACAGCTAGTAAAGCTTCTATTAACAGAAAAATAAATGCATATCAAAATTACCAATTTGAGACGGTGTATGTCCTTTTTTCGCTAGTTTGTAGATAAGTTCTTTGCAATCTTCTGGTGTTAGCTTCAACCAAGTTGGTACACTTCGTCGGTAAGGAAGCGCCGACTGGGATATACCTTTTCTAAAAAATATAATATGCCGTCATATAATACGAGATCCGATTGTCTCAGTCTGCTGCATCTCGTCGATTCGCATAAAGGAGGCACGGCAGTGTCGCTGCGCTTGGCTTAGCGCCAAGACACTTCCGTGTCTCCAGATGTATTATTTTAAACTATAAAAAAAATAT